GCTTCATCTCCTTGAGGGCCACATCCAGCTTGGTGAAGAGCTGTAGGTAGGCGTCCTGCACCTCACGGTCCTCCTGCTTCAGCAGGAAGCTCAGGCCCCGGTCCTCCGGGCCCAGGGCCCCGCTGGGGGGCCCGAGGCTGTCGTCGGGGTCCCCGTCCACAACAGGCAGGCACTTCCAGGACGGGGCGGCCATGGTGGTGATGCAGTGCTGGGTGTAGGACATGGGGTTCAGGTGGCCTGCGGGGGAGGAGGGCAGGCGGGAGGTCAGCGGAAAGCAGACCCACTCCCAGAACTCCGGGAGAGGGAACTTCCCTGCCAGAACTTTCTTTTTCTTTTCCTTTTTTGGTGGTACCAGGGATGGAACTGAGCGCCTCGTGAGGCCAGGCAAATGCTCTACCACTGAGTTCTACCTCAGCCTTTTTAAAAACAATTTTTTTTTAATTTGGGGACAGGGTCTCACTAAGTTCCAATGCTGTACTCAAACTCTGCGATCCTTTGCCTCAGTTTCCCCATTAGCTGGGATCACAGGTGCACGCCCTTTTCAGAATCTTGATCCACTAAGTTACCTCAAGAAGACAGTTTCAGTTTGATGCCAATACACCTTTAACCACGGTTGGCTTTTCCTGTCTGGAAATGCAGACATGGTGGCTGGCACACCGGCAGCCATACTCTACCATGAGGCACCCTGAAAGTTAGAGACCCCTTCTAGAGATGGTGATGCAGAAAGATAGAAGGGCCTGGACTCCTAATGACCACGGAGCCACATTCCAGCCTGGACTGTCGGCCCCCAGACACTGTTCTGTTTAGGTACCGTAGTGTGAGTCTAAGCACCACCTCTAACAGACACCAGCAGGTACCTTGCTCAGGGTCAAGGCCGATGAGGGAGGGCTTGCGTCCGAAGCGAATGCTGAAGGACCTGCCCACCGAGGGGGTGGTCTTGGGGTAGGACACCTCCATGAGGTTGACGTGGCAGTTGGTGGGGCAGAAGTCCAGGCCGCACAGGGGGTGGGGCTCTAGGGCCGCCTGCTTGAAGGCGGGGCTGACCCGGCTCCTCAGCTGAGCTGCAAACTGAGAGCAGAGGGGCACGGACCGTGAGCGGGGACCCGGGATTCTGGGCCACCCCTAGGAAGCAGGGCCTCCGAACGGGAAGCACTGCCCCCACACTGTCCCTCCTGGGCCGGGCAGAGGCCGGGGCGCGGAGGCCTCAGGACTTAGGTGCACCCACTTCTCCACGTCAGCTGCTGCACCTGAGCTGGCCTCAAGCAACCGTCTCTCCTGGCTCAGCTCTGAGGTTCAGGCAGGGCTGCCTTCCCCCCAACAGGGACCAGGACAGGGCCAGCAAGAGCTCCCTCTGATAGTGCTAAAGCCAGAGCTATGAGGGCCACCACCTCACGGCCCGAGTGTGAAGCCACGTGGGGAACAAAGCCGAGGGACGGAGAGCGGCCGTACTCCTGCAATAGTGTCGTATCCGATTGAAAGCCTGGATACAACCATGCCTGAAGTTCACCTCTGCACTCTTCAGTGACAGAAACCCATGAAATTTCCTGTTTGTTTAAGCAAAGTTGGACTGGAGTTTGACACTGACGAAAAAATACCCCAGGTGAGGTCCCACGCCTGGCAGCCAGCGGTGGACCTGTGGGGCGTAGCTACCTTCTGGTAGCAGGCGATCCTCCGGCCGATGCTCTCCAGCTTGGTGTCACAGATGTTGCGGAACTCGAAGTGGGGCATGGTCACGATGGCGCTGCTCCTGGCCATGAGCCGTCCGCAGTTCTGCACGAAGGCGCTGTCCTCCGCAGCGAAGGCCTCCAGGACCTGCAGAAGCAGCAGTGGCCGCTGAGCACCCGCTGAGCCGGGAGGGTCCGCGCTCTACCAGCACCCCAGGTCAGGTCCGCTGCGGCCATGCTGCAGACTCAGGCTACGGGACAAGTCGCCTCCTCGGCCCATGGCCACCAGGTGCAGGGACAGGGACTGGACCTCGGGCTCCAGGAGGGCCCCTGCCCAGGACCTTGGCGGCGAGGCCGAAGCAGCCGCGGGGCTCCACGATCCTCTCCAGCACGTGGCACTTGACGCCGGCCGTGCTCACGTACTCGTACACCACGCCGTGCTCCAGGCTCACGTTGTCCACCGTCAGGCTGACCACCGGCCCGTCCTCGCGCAGGCTCAGCTGTGGGCCCAGGGACAGCAGGGGCCAGGCTGGAAGCCAGGGGGCAGGCGACACTGAGGAGGGCGCGGCGCCGCGCCCCGCAGCCAAGCCCTGGCACCCGCACGGGACGGGAGCCTCAACCCAAGGGCGGCCAGAGCCCGTTCCAAGGCGCTGGCTGCCTCTGCTGCCTGCTGCTGTCCACCCCGCCCTGGAAGAGCCTGCCCACCTGCCCCCACACCCAGTCCCACAGGTGGGCAGGACACTGGCACAGAAGAGGACACCCACCCTGTCCCTGTCGCGCCCCCGCCTCCCCCTACCAGAGTCTGGCTGGTCGTCCTCCAGGGCCCCCGTGTCCTCTCCGGGGGTCTCCTGGCTGGCTCGCGCCTCCTGGGCATCCTCGTGGGTGTGGTAGATCCAGTGGTAGAGGCCCTGGGAGGAGCCGCTGTGAGAGGGACCGCCAGGGAGGAGGAGACGGGGCCAAGGGGCCACCCGCTCAGCTCTGGGCCGGTTAGGGACACTGCCTTAAAGGAGCCTCCCAGATGTCCCTGGAGCTCCCAAGGCCCCCGGGAACGCCCCTCGGCCTGGATGGCGCCCGCCCCACCACTGCCAGGGGAGGGAGCCTTGGAAAGTGCCAGCACCCGTGTCCCCAGGCCAAGTCACAGTCTGGCCATGGACACCTAGACAGACAGCAGAGGGGGTGGACGATGCCACCCTGCCTAGAGCCCCCGTCCCTATCCCAGATCTGGGGACCCAGGTGGGGGGTGGGGGCAGTCCTCTGGTGCCCTGGGCAGAGCCCCCTGTGCTGCCCGCACGTCTCCCCAGGGAGGGCACCCAGCCCCGGCCACTCACCAGCGCCTCCTCTCCACGACTCCGGAACGCCTGGAAGTGCTCCAGGACCTCCGGGGCACCCTCGCTGGCCACGTTGTTGCCGTTGACCTTCAGGACACACTGGCCGGCACACAGTCCGGCAGCCACGGCCTCGGAGCCTGGGGGAGGAGCGCTTGAGGCAGGGCCAGGGCAGCGGGGTGCAGCAGGCAAGGTAGGCCACCGGAGGCACCCGGCCACACCTCCCCCTGGAGCCAGCAGTGGCCCCCGAGTGCACAGAGTGGGACCTGGCACCCCACTTCACAGGAGAGATGTACTCAGAAGGGACAGCTAGCCAAGGCCACACACAGGGGACCCGGGTCTGAATCCAGGCTCATGTCACTCGGGAGCTTCGTCTCCCTCATTGTCCTGCACAACCCGTGGTCCTCCACCAGGGTCAGCCCGTGTGGCCAGGGGAGCAGAGGCTCAGGAGGATCGGCAGCCTCGAGGCCACCTGGCCAGAAGCTGGGGCTTGAGCCTGCGCTACCAGTCACCAGGTGCACCTTCCTCCCGCGTCCCCTGGGGTCTTGGGGACGATGTGACTTGCAGACAAAGACTGAGATTCTGCCTGTGGTGGGCAGGTGACAAGGGCACACCCTGCTGTCCATGGGACCATCATTCAGGACTCCTCCACCTGCTGGGCTCAGGGTCCTCACTGCTAAGAGGGGACAAGGATCAAGCCACTCACAAGGTTCCTGAGAGACCAGGGAGTTGGCACAGGAGGCGTCCAGCACTGAGCCTGGCTCTGGGTGCTTTCTCAGAGGTGGAGGAAACACGAAGAGCCGGGCCAAGGCCGTAGCCCAGCCCTGTTTTGAGACAAGGTCTCACCGAGTTGCTAGCCTTAAATTTGGGATCCTCCTGCCCCAGCCTCCTAAGTTGCTGGGATTATAGGCATGTGCCACCATGCCCAGCCAACCTTTCCTCCATGTAAGGTGACAGTCTTGAGTATTTTGTTATAGTAACGGAGAGCTGCTGGCACACCCATGAACACTACCACAGCTGATCACTACACGCTGCGGTGCTCCAGGGCAGGGCTTCTCCCACCGCCTGGGCCAAGGAGCTCGGCTCTGTAGGGCCACCCTGGGCACTATGGGGTGACAGCTGCATTCCGGTCTGCCCTAGAGGCTAATGGCACATCCTCCCCAGTTGTGACCACTGAAAACATCTCCAGTCCTGCCAGATGTCCTCTGGAGAAGGAGGCAAGTCACCCACAGTCACAAATCACTGCTTTAAAGGTAAATAACAAGCTCACTCTAAAATGTTCTCCGTTTCTCAGGAGCCCTCTGTATGACGTGCACTTTCTTGGTGAACAGATATTAGATGTATAACTCTGACCTCAAAAGTGACCTTCAGAGTTTAAAAGGAAGCTTTGGGTATACAATGCTGGGCCCAGTCCTGCAGACCTGCCCGTCTCCTCTCCAGGACAGAGTGACTCCTGAGGCCACCAGGACAAGGCACTGTAGAGAGCAGAGGCCCCCAGCTGGTGGCCCTGGGGCTGCAGCATGGCTCTGTGGGACCCTAACTTCTCCTGACACGCCCAGTCTGGCTCCAGGGCCAGTCCCTGCCCCGCAAGGCCGAGCCTGGAGAGCGCTGCCGCTTCAGGGACGAACAGCGCCCGTCACCTTGCTGTGGTCCCCACGGCTCCCTGGTGTCTCAGGCTGCTCCGCCCACGTGTGGTTAGTGTTCCCAAGTCTTAGCTTCAGGAAGGGAAAAAAATGCCAATGGCACCTGGGCCGGCAGAGCTGGGTGCACAGGTCCCCGTGACTCTGAACTCCGGGGACACAGACAGCCCCAGGCCAGAGCTGCTGCTGGTCAGCGAGGCTCCTGCTCACCTCTCCCCACGGCGAAGACATAGGGCGGGGCGGCTCCTCGGATCTGGAAGCACAGGGCCTCTGGGTGGTCGGGGACTTTGATGGTCCTGCCGCAGGCACAGTGACAGGGTAAGGCCATAAGGAAAGCAGCTTCCTTCCCCATAACCTGGGGCCACCTCGGGGAGCCCCTGCCTGTAAGGCTTCTGGGAAACTCAGCCCAAAACAGGAGCGGCACCAGGAAGCCCAGTCCCACATGAGGGGACATGCCAGTTACCCAGAGTCCACGCCACCAATCCTCAGTGGCCGAGAGCCCCGAAGTTCCACAGGCCTGCCTGCCCCGCTCCCACACCCAGGAGCCCTGGAGGCCAGGCCAGCACCCCCGTGGACATTGACTCAACTATCGTAGATGGCAGGGTGAGAAGTGGCCCAGCACATCTTGGTGTTGTCCCCAAAAAACACCACCGGGTCCCCTAGAGAGGGGTTGGAAAGCCCGAGTGTCAGACACGCTGGGGCCCGTTCTCCACCATGGCAGAGAGGGGCCACACCTGCTAGGGTGGGCAGCAGGCGTCCTTTGTCCTAGACACACCCACCCAGTCCTGCCTTCGTCCCTCCTGTTCTGGCATGTCCCCTCGTGTGCCAGATAAAGCCATCCCATAAGCCTGTTCCCAACCCCAGGTGCTTCCGGAACGTCAAGCAGACGCCTCCCCCTTGGCTAGCTCTGCCACCTGCACGGGCCAAACCGTGCTCAGATCTCCCTGAACGAGCTGGCCTTTTACTGAAACTGTCACATCAGAACCCCCCCTCCCGTCAACAGAGCGCTGGCCTCAAATAAAAGAGAGGCGTAGACACCAAGCGCATGAGTTTTCAATGGACGACTCTCCCCTGTACCTCTGTCTGTCCCGCCGCCCCTCCCTCTCCCCCCGTCAGAACCTCCAGCCGCTCTCCACAGGGCTCACCGTGGCGCAGGGCCCCACAAGCCTGGCCGCCCTGTCCCGCTGGCCTCCCCCACCCCGTCCGCGCCCCTCGGCCTCCCCGCTGGGCCTCACAGCTGCCAGAGACGGCCCCACCGCAGGCCCAGGCACCGCTGCTTCCTCTGCCTGGAGCCCTGCTCCCCCAGAAGTCCCCGTGAGGAGCCCTGGTGAGCTCTCTGCCCACGTTATCTGCACAGCACAGTCTAAGGCCAGCTCTCTGCGTCTCCATGGACCACTCGCTGCCCCGGCTGGGGACGTATCTCACGCCCCGACCTGTGTACTTCTGTCCCCTGCTCTGTCCCGCACTTGACCAGGGGCCCATGAAGGGCAGGAGCTGTGACCATGCTGACAGGGCCGCATGCCAGGCCCACTCCCCTCGGCCCAGCCGAGGCTGCTAAAGAGCAGGGGCAGCGTGTCCCATGGTGGCTTCAGTGACGGCCACCCACCAGGCCGCACAGCTCCCACCCCACCAGCCCCAGCACTGGTCCCTCCTCAGCATGCCATCAGGCTGGGCACCAGGCCCGGGGACACTCACTCTTTGGCCTTGGTGGCCACCAGGAGGCGCAGGGGGCGGCGGGAGCAGAAGCACTGGTTGAGGAGGGACTCCACCTCCGAGAAGGGCCGCAGGAACACCAGGTCCTCGTTGATGGAGTAGATCCTCCTGCCCACCTGCAGGCCGGCCATCTTGGGGGCAGCAGACGACAGGCGTGTGAGTACCAACACTGCCATCCCCAGTGAAGGACCCTCCCTGTGTTCCTCAAGGACACGGACGGACAGCCCAGCGGGCCAAGGCGGCTCCCCCAGGGAAGCCCTGCAGGGCCTGGGGCCTGGGTCTGGACACAGCTACAGGGGCCACAGGTGGCCTGCCCGGCTGGGTGGAGCAGGGGGTCTAACAGGGTGGCCACCTCGTGACTGCCCCTCACATAGGGCTCTGGGAGCCTGGGCTGCCTGGCCTGGCAGCTGCAGCCCCACCTCCCCACCCAGGAGAAGCTGCGAGTCTGGGGCTCAGATCCCTTCCCATCCCTTCTCCTCCAGACCATGCCCAGGGGACAATGAGCTCCTCCTGTTCGAGCCACCAATATTTAGGTTTTTTATCCTCGCAGCTCATTCCAAAACTGCTTCAGAACCAGCAGGGGGCGCTGGTGGGCTGCACCAGGACAGCGCTGAGCGGCCCAGGGCGTCCGGCTCCCCAGTACCTGCAGGGGTCCTGGGCCCAGTTTCCCGATATGGACAAGAGAGAGCAGCAGCCCTCGTCCCCAGACCTGCTAAGCTGCCCTCCCACCTGCACAAGCCCCTGCCAGAGCTGCCCTAAGGCCTCACCTCAGCCAGCGAGCCCCTCTGGACCGACTTCACCACCACGGCCTTGTTCTTCTCCTCGATGTCGAAGCCGTAGTCCTCCTCCTGGGGCAGGATCTGGGGGCCCGAAGCAGAGCCGGTAAGGCAGGAGGTGCCCAGGACACCCCACCCCGATGCCCACAGGACTGGGATCCTGTTGTCTCCTCATGCCCCAGGGCCACCAGGGTGGGGTGCAGATGAGGGGCCTACAGCACAGCAGCCAGACCAGGCCAATACAAGCCCCACCTGCACACAGTAGGCACCTGAGGTGAGGGCACCACCTGGCTCCCGCCAGAGCCTGGTGTGTGTTCAATCTGTCACCCCTTCCTCCTGCCAACCCAGGGACAGTCCCCTCTCTCCACACTGTCTCCCCATCCACTGGCATACCATAGGTGCTCAATAAATGACTTAATGAATAAAGCAGACTGTGGGAGTGGAGAAGCAGCTCAAGGAGCAGCAGCCCTCTACTGCTGGAAGTAGGCCCTAGGGCTCCTGGGGACACAGGGAAATGGGCACAGCCATGCAATAGCGTCCAGGGAGCGGCGCCGGTCACACACGCCAAGCGCTCCGTGGGTACGGCAGACACGCTCCCCAGCAAGACGGACTGGACAGTCCCCCTCTGCAGCTGACCGCAAGGGAGGGCCAGCCCGGGATCAACCGCAGACGGCGGTGCAGGCTGTGAGCAGCTTGAACTACAGGACAGCAGCTAAGGGCCGGGGCCTGCCCTGGGCGGCCGAGGGCCACACTGGCGCTGAGGGCTGGACACGGGAGTGGGGAAGGACCCCAGGCAGCAGCCAGCGGGCCACGGCCCTGAGGCACTGAAGGGGGAGGAAAGGGCTCAGGTGGCTGGGGCCGGGCGAGGACAGCACCGGAGGTGGAGGGGAGAGGCAGAGTCCCCCAGGCCACGCTGAGCACTTGCAGCCCACCCTGGGTGTGACGGGGAGCCCCGGAGAGGAAGGAGAAACGGAACCCACAGAAGGCACTGAGCGTCTCCACACCAGGCCGACTCCGGCTCTGACCTGGGCAGGGTGAGCAACCGGCTCTGAGCCCCTGTCCACCACCCGCTGGGACCATGCATCAGGAGGGGCTGGTGCTCACTGGTGGGCAGAGAAAGAGGATTTGGGGGGCTAGGCGGGTCAACTTCCTGCACAGCTGTGAGGCCTCCCTGAATTGCAGAGGTATCGACAGCCACTGAACACAGGCAGGCGCCAGTCTGAGACCCAGGCTCTGGGGGGCAGGGGAGTGGCTTTGGGAGGCCATCCCCAGGCACAGCGCCAGGCTGCGGCAGCCGGGAAGACAAGAGGAGCTGGAAGAAGGGGAGGGTGCCCAGCACCCGGACCTGTGTGAGGAGGGCGCCTGGGCCATGCAGTGACCTGCCCTCCGGCCACCTCCAATCCCACAGGAGGCCTGGGAAGGGCGGTGCCCAGGCCCAGCCTGCTCCTACCAGCAGCCGCTTGGCCAGGATGTTCTCCACGAGCTTGAAGTCGTTGCGAAGCTGTCTGTTCTTGCTGCTGGTCCCCTCCATCTCCTCGTCAGCGTGGAAGCGGAAGTACTGGGACTCGTCCTTGAACTCGCTCTTCTCCAGCACTGCAGACCCAGACACACAAGCCACAGTCAGACTCACAGCCACACGTCAGCCACACTTGCCACCTGGCAGCCAAGGGCTGGGGTAGCCCCACACAGGTTTGGTGTGTCCCAAACCCCCTGGCTGCTCAGGGTGTGACGGGCGTCAAGGACTGCAGGGCCCTCTGCAGATGGGACTCTGACTTGGGAAAGAGTAAGCCAGACCCCTACCTCACACCACACACCAGGACTCCTGGGGGTGGAAGACCTGCTTGTGAACAGTAAAGCCACAGCCGGCCAAGCACACGCACGCTACCTCGGGGCTAAGGCAGGTATGGACACAAACCAAGGGGTCGGCAAACTGAGGCTCCAGGACCCACATCTGGCCCACTACCTCTTCCTACAAATAAAGTTTTATTGGAAAGAGCTCCACCACTGTCTGCAGCTGGCAGCTCTCCAGCCACAATGCCAAGGTTGGACAGGTGTGACAGGTCACAAGGCACACAGGGCCTAAATTCCCACTATCTGACTCTTTACAGAAAAAAGTGCTGACCTCTGTACCAGGATGAGCCAGGAAAATGCACACAAGAAACCAGATGCAGCCCGAGGCCATGGCTTAGGGTCACCAGGCACCTCCGGGCCAGGCCTCTGTGGCTGTGCTTAGCTGGTCTACCCCTTGGGCAGGTGGAAAGACCAACGCCCAGGCCGACAGACAAATCCATCCAGGTCAGGGTCATCAGCCGCACTGGGGCCCCACGCAGGCCCCTCCTTTCCCTGAGCTGGCCCCCAGGCCTGTCAGCGAGGGCCTCTGAGGTTAAGGTAGCCAGCTGCCTGAGGTTGGCGGGTCCCTGCGGCCAGAAGAACCAGCTGCCTAGACGCACCCCTAAAGACGGGGGATCTGGTGGCTGAACAGAAGGCAAAGGAAGTGTTTCCTCTTCCTGGTCCCCAGGACACTTTGCCAGGACCCTACCTGTCTGGCCACCATATCACCTCTTTGGAGAAAACAGACACACAAATTGCTACTTTCCCCAGAGTGGGGAGCCAGGAGGGCGGGCTGGCTTGGCCTCCACTGTAAACACGAAGCTAGAAAATTCCGGGAGTGGGAGGAGAACGCAGTGCTGTGTCCTGCTGGCATGTCGCGAAAAGGCAGGGAATCCCCAGGTGAGGCCCAACCTAACCTCTCTGTGGAGGCTGCTGGCCAGGCTCTGTGAGCCACACAGACCTGGAGTCAGGTCCCCTGCTTGGCCCCTTGCTGACCCTGACCATATGCTCGTCCAGCCTCATCCACAGGGAAAAGAGCAGACAGCCTGTATTTGCATGAGAGGGGACCAGCCTGGGGGTGCCTCTCTGGGACAGCTCAGCTCCACTACAGGAGGTCCCGCCAGCCCCACTCTGTGCCTGCCCTGCACTTGGCCAAGGCCGCAATCCTGGGCTTGGGTTCTTTTTCCTATTTTAGCCTATTTTTGAGGTCGTGGCAGGGACAGGAGAACAGGGCCGCACCCTGCAATTTCCCACCCCCCAGAGCATCCAGACTGCTGGGACCCCCCTGCGGAATGTCCTCTCCCAGCAGCCTTCCTGGAATAGCAGCGGGGGTGGACCCCTAATTACCCTCACCCACAAACAAGAGGTCCGGCCCAGCTGGCTGGTGGGCGAGCAGAGCTGTCGGGAGGCCCCAGGGGCACAAGGGCAGCTTCTGGGCACACTGAGCCAGGGCAGATGGGTGGCCTAGCCTCACGGGGGAAACGAACGGCAGGAAGCAGTCCCGACCCCACAGAACCATGGCAGATGGCAAGGCCTCCCGGGAAAGCTGGGGAACTGAGGCCGAGCGGGGAGGCCCCCAGAGGCAGGTCCCGCCCCGCCCACCAGCCAGAAGGCAGGCCATGGGGCTGGAACACGGTGGCCCGCCCCCGGTTCCCTAAATAAAGTTTGACGGCACACGGCCATGCCCAGCTGGTTCAGTGCTGTCTATAGCTGCTTCTGTGTTACAAGGGCAGAGAGTGGCTGTGACAGGGACCCGGTGGCCCGCAGAGCCAAGAGCACTTGCCACCTGGCCCTTCAAGAGAAAGTTCCAAGCTCTGAGTTCATCAGAAGAGCGGCAGCTGGGGAGGAGCCGGCCGAGGGTCTCCTGACCCAACACTCTCCCACCTCTGTGCCACCGCCTGGCCCTAGCCACGTGGCCCTGCCCTGGACCTCCTCCAGGCCCCTGCCCCGCCCCACAGACTGTAGCCAGAAGGTTCCAGAAGAAACCCAAGTCACCACTCCCTCCTGCCCAGAACCTCTGGGGGCTCCTGCCTCGCTCAGAGTAAGAGTCCAAGGTCTCCTCACTTGCACCACCTGGAACGTTCCAGAAGATGTGCTCTTTCTGATTGGGACACACACAGAAACGACTGGGACCTGTTCTGCTCGTTGCTGTCCCCAGGATCTAGCACCGAGCCTGGGACAGAACAGGCACCGGCTGGAGAAGAGTCTGGAAGGCCACGTGGGCTCAGCCACAGGCAGGAAGGGCGCCTTGACATGGGCCCCCAGAACGGCGCAGGGGGCTGGCGGGCAGCAGGAGCCGCACTCTGAGTGACGGGCGAGGCGGGCGGGGAGCGCTGGGCAGAGGCCGGGGAAGGGTTACCGTGGTGCATGAAGCCGTTGTTGCACAGGCCCACGCCGAGCGCCACGGCCTCCTCTCGCGTCTGGCAGTCTCCCTGGCATGGGACAAGAGGGGCACAGTGGCATTAGGTGAGCTGGCAACTCTGAGCCACAATCCCGCCAGAGCCACCGCCCACATCTCCTCATCCACGCTGTTCCTTTAAGTCCCCTTCCACTTGAGGCTTTGTCCCTGCAACTGAAAACTTGCCATCTGACACCATCAGAACCACGGTTCCTCTCAGGGCCACCTGGGAGCCACCCGCCTCCCTCCGGAAGCCTGGAGAGGACAGGCCAGTGCGCAGGGCACTGTAGGGTTCTGCCCCAGCCGACCCTCCCTGGCAGACTGTCCTGAGCAGGACCGTGCTCAGGACACACCCCCACCCCAGGGACAGACAAGGAGTCACCATCCTGCGGGGCCACGGGAACCTCCCTGCCCAGGTGCGGGACACCTGAGGGGAGGAGGCAGGACGGGAGGCAGGTGTGTGCTTCTTCCCAGCAGCGGCCCCTGAGGTGGTCCCCGGGGCTCCCCCTCCTCAGACTTCCCTGGCGCCTGGCTCCCAGGTGTGCCCCACCTCCTCCCAAGGAGCCCTGTCCCCTGCCACCACCACCCCCGCTAAATTATCCAACATCATCCCTGTTGCCTGCAACCCAGATAATCTCAACACAGCAGCAGAGAGAGAGTGGAAGGGCAGCGGGGGGACTCGGGCAGAGGACAGCAGGACAAAGGCCCAGAGGTGGGAAGGAGAAACCAGGAGGAGCAGGGCAGCCAGGGGAGCGTCCCCTGGGGACAGGGCTGCAGTCCTGCAGTCTGTGGGCTGAGAAAGGAGCTGGGGAGGGGAATCCCTGGCAAGAGGCCCTCCAGCCGCCTCCCTCCCCAGCAACTGGCCAAGGAGCGGCAGAGGGTTCTGCGGTCCTCCCTGCCAGCAGCCTGGGGGTGCGGAGGGCATTTTCCCAGGTGCAAGGGACACGGCTGCTCTATCAGAGGTGGCTGCTGCTGAGCACACGCCAGGCCCTGAGCCAGGTGGGGGCAGCTGCAGCCTTGGGTTTACTGAGCCCAGCCAGACAGTGCTGGAGAGCCAGCGAGCTCAGGCCAGGCTGCGGGAGGGCCCCGAGGGGCTGCATCCCGGGCAGCCACCCCCAGCTGCCAGGGATGGCAGGAGGGACATCCAGGGTCCAGGTGGCGCAGGCCCAGCTCGACAGCCAGGCAGGCAGGGCAGCATGTGGCATCCACCTGGCTTCTGGGCAGCCTGGGCTCCCCACCCTGAAGGACCTGGGCCAGGTGACCAGCGAGGTCCCTCACCACAGCAGGGCGGGCGCAGGTTAGAGTGACAGGTCCTGGATTCATCACCTGAGAGCAAACCTGTCATCCTGGGTTGGCAGTCACCACGGGGGGCATTTTGTCCCCTGTGGGGAGAGGCACAAGCTACATCAGGCTCAGAGGCCATGTATCTCACTGCCCACTCACGGCTCACCCTCGGGCTCCAGCCACGCTGGCCCTGCTGTGCACGCACCCCCCTGGGGCCTTTGCACCTGCTCTTTCCTCCACCTAGGGTGCCGCCCTGGGCTTTTCAGGCCTCAGCACCAGGTCACCTGCTCTGAGTCCTCCCCTAATGATCCTGGTCCTCTTCAAGCCCTCCCCCACAAGTCCTCCCCAGGAACACCACCCGTCCCTCTCACTGCCCAGCACACTGGGGCTACTGTAGGGTGGTTAGGGAAGGCCTCAGAGCAGGTGACCACGTGCTGAGGCCTGTTCTGTTTAAGGTCTGTCTCCCAGTAGAGTTGGCACCGTGTGGGCAGGGCCCTGGCACTGGCCCGTGCACTCACATGGCCTCGCGTGGAAGCCCCAGCCTAGCCCTGATGGGACATAAAGCATGGAAGGAAGCGGGGAGGGGAGTGGAGGGACCGGGAAGCTGACCTTGAGACCGCTCTGCAGGGTTCTATGCCCCTGAAACAGGGGGATCATCCCGCCACACCCCAGAGCTCTGGGGGATGAAATGAACCGCTCCAGGGGTCCCGCTGGGTCGGAGGCAGCAGAGGTGACGCAAGGCCGTGGAGCGGTGGGAGAGGCCCTCTGCATGAGTCTGAAGGCCTGGGCAGGCCTCTCGTGCCGAGCACGTGCCAGTCTGGGTGGTCAAGTCAGAAGCAACCACCACGCCTGAGCTGCCTGACAGGGGAAACTGAGGCACGGCAGGCTCTCCCCACCACCAGGTCGTGGCTGGGGAAACTGAGGTGCACGGGGTGGTCGGCGGCCCAGGACTCTGTCCCTGTTCAGCTGTCACCCTCACCCCTGGCCTCTGCCTCTCCTGCACTAGCCCTCGCTGCCCACGCTGAGCCCGGCTGCCGTCGGCGCCTGCCATCTGCCTGGGAAGGGAGTTGGCAGAGCAGGCGGGAAAAGTCCCGCCAAGCCACATGGACGTCGGCACACTCATGCCCTCTGAGCCTGACTCCGTGGCCTGGCCTGGCCCCACTCGCTCCAGCCCCAGCCCCAGCCCACCAACCCTGCCCCCCTGGGCATCTAGGAGCCTGGGCAGCAGGGAGAGGGGAGAGCGTGAGCCCCTGTGCTGCCCGCTGTGACCATGGCAGTCAGCTGACCTCTCTGAGCTGCAGTGCCTCACCCGTGTTTGTGCCCATCCTCGCCAAGGTCTGCACCCTGGAGTGGTCCATGCACAGATAACCAGGGCCACCATCAACACAGAGCATCTTTACATCAAGGCACCACAGCCCTAGCCTCTATAGTGTCCTACGACTATGTGCCCAGAGGCAAGTTAGGGAACCCCAGCCTCAGTTCCTCATCAGTAAAACGATCAGGGCCGTACCTTCCCCCGGCCATTCTGAGGGTTAAATGAACCAGGAGGAGAGCAGGTCAGAACTGACCCTTACCCTCAGAGCTAAAAGACTCCCCGTCTGGGTAGTGAGTCCGGAGCCCCTCGTGAGCATCAAGGGAGGAATCCTGAGCAATCCCAGCTTCTCTCAGAAATTCCTGTCCTTTTACCCACAAACTGGTTTAGGGGATCCATCTGGCCAATGAGAACTAAGCAGAAGACCATGGGTCAAGGGGCAACTGTGAGAAGTTTTCTCCCTAATGTGAAAATTGAAAAAGCACTTTCAAACTGAACTGCTGCTGGCTTTGGGCCATAGTTCATTATAAATGAGATACCTGGAGGTGTGGCAGCCATTTGTGATTGTGAGGCAACTAGCAAGAAGCTAAGAGAACCAAACAGAAAGGTGCATTTCAGGGTGCAAACAGCATTGCTGGGTTCTAGGACCATGAACTCTGAACATTTAGTTATCTAAGAGAAAATGCCTTTACTGTGTTAAGTCCAGTTCCTACTGTGAGAAGACAAAAGCATTTCTAACTGATCCAGCAGGCGTTCAACTGACATTTTGTCCCAAGGAGCAGAATAACCTACAAGTTAGAAATAATGAGATGTCCAGAGGGAGGGGAAGCCCCCTTGAGCCACTCGATTACATGTTCTCTGCTCGATCCTGCTGAGGTTCCAGGTGGGGATGGGCCTTTGATGTCATATCCTGTCTTGTTGGTTCCAAACACTCCTCAGACCTGCCCCACCCCCAGCCTTTGGGGAAACATCTACTTTTCCCTGTGACACCAGCAGGCTGTCCCCTGGCACAAGTGGAGTCTGGGAAACATGAGGCCACAGAGTCCATAGCAGAGAGGCCCGGGAAGCTCAGGGCCCCAAAGCCAGGGCTGTCTGGGCTGCGGCTAAAGCACCTGAACTACAAAGCAGGCACCCACGTAGCAGCTCACCTGCCCGAGGCACAGCTGCCCGAGGATCACCTGCCTGCTACACACCTGCCCGAGGCTCACCTGCCTGCTGCACACCTGCCCGAGGCTCACCTGCCTGCGGCTCACCTGCCTGCCGCATACCTGCCCGTGGCTCACCTGCCTGCCTCACACCTGCCCGTGGCTCATCTGCCTGCCACACACCTGCCCAAGGCTCACCTGCCCGAGGCTCCCCTGCCTGCTGCACACCTGCCCATGGCTCACCTGCCTGCCGCACAACTGTGAGGCCAACTCTCAACTCTGCAGACGTCCCCACTGCTGTCTCTTGGTCTCACTATTCCATGCCCGCGAATCCCCTGTGGTTTCTTTAGCCTTCTTCGCTGACAGAACTTGGGCCCGCCTCGGGTTCTCTGCAGGAGGCGAGGACTGCACTAAGAGCTACACTCGCCAAGCAATAACTCCCGCCAGGCTGTGTTTTTTAACAGGTGGGCAACCTGAGGCACAGACACGGTAACCAGCAGCCGGAGGTGACGCAGCCAGGAAGTAGCAGAGCCAGGATGTGAACGGGTCCGCCTGGCATGCCTCTGGGCTGACTGCACACAGTCCCCAGGGGGCAGTGCAGTGGGGGGTTAGAGGCCCTGCGCTTCTAGACAGCAAGTCTGACCCCAAGGCCAGGGTCTGGCAAAACCCCCCGATTTCTCGATCCCACTGTTACAGCAAACACTGAAACACACCCACAGTTCACACTAAGGACAATCTGTTAGCCTGGTTTTTTGTGAAGCACTTTTCTAAACCTACTTTTGAAGTTACTTGGTGCCGAGAAACATATAAATTGAGTCTCCACAGCAGTCTTCAGTCATTTGCTCAGTGTGAGAAAATCCAGCCAGCAAAACTGTGGTTTTTGAATGGAAGGAACTTTTTATGAACACTAAATTTAACAATTACTCAAGCTGGCTTACAGCTCCGCTCTGCAGCTGGTTTCGTGGTTTGGTTTGGCTTGTTCTTAGTACTGAGGATTGAACCCAGGGGCTCTCCACTGAGCCACACCCCCAGTCCTTTTTAATTTTTTTTATTTTGAGACAGGGTCTCACTAAGCTGCTGATGGTTTCACTGAATTGTTAAGACTGGCCTCAATCTGTGATCCTCGTGCCTCAGCCTCCTGAGTCACTGGTATTATGGGTCTGCACCACCAGGCCCAGCTTCGGTAGTTTAACTAGACATTCATCCATTATCATGTTGCAGGGTCCCATCTTTTAGAGCTGTACGTCCTTTTCTCAGACCATGAATGAACATTCTGTGGGCTCCCTGAAAGATTCCCAGAATCAGGCAGAGTTCTGGATGGGTGAGATGGTCCCAGCCCCATCCTGTCTTTGCCGTGGTCAGGCTGTGCCTCCTGGAACCAGGCCCTGGCCTTTCTGGGCCCCATCCCTCCCCTCTGTAAATGGGTTGAAGGCCACGGTAGGATAACGGACAAAGCCCAGCCAGGGCCTGGCCAGAGGAAACCCTGTTGAATGACCATTAATAGGAGCCATAAAGAAGGAAGGACAGGCAGGCGGGCTTGACCGCTGGACCTCAATGGAGCAAACAACTCTGCAGGGTCAGCAAGATTGATGGAGATGTCTAAGCCTCTGCTGGCCTCGGGCTTTCTTGAAAGGAAGACCCTGGCAAGAGGCTCCAGTTTGGTGCCAGGGTGTGAGAACAACTTTCTGTTCTTTACAATTACCTGGTCTTGGGTATCTGGATACACACAGCATAAATGGAGTAAGATGTGTATATACACTATTTATGGGACCTTAAGAACACAGGAAACTCTACAACTCGAGGACATGTGCTAAGTGACATGAAGGCGTCATAAAAGGTTGATATGGTAGGATTTCATTCTCAGGTGGTCCCTAGAGTAGTCAACTCCAGAGACAGAGCCCAGATCGGGGCTGGAGGGTGGGGCGGGGCTGCAGGGAGAGGCGGGGCTGCAGGGGGGCGGGGCTGCAGGGAGAGGCGGGGCTGCAGGGGGGGGGGGCGGCGGGGGGGGCGGGGCTGTGGGAGTGTGGAGCTACAGGGAAGGGCGGGGCTGCAGCAAAGGGCTGGCTGCCCCTTCACAGGCAGAGCTTCATCTCTGTGGGTGGGGGATGTCTGCAGGACATCAGGCCTGTACTTAATGCCACTGGAACTGCACACTTAAAAGGGGTTAAGCAGGTAAACTTGCACTATGTGCCCTGTGCCACCATTAAAAACACAAATTGGGGCTGGGGTTGTGGCTCAGCGGTACAGCAGTCGTCTAGCATTTGCGAGGCCCTGGGTTCAATCCTCAGCACCACATAAAAATAAATAAATGTCCAACTACAACTAAATGTGTGTGTGTATGTATATACATACATACATACATCCATATATATATATATACACACACACATACATATTTAAAAAAATAAAACAACACAAGGCTCCACATTCCAGGAAGCCCCCCTCCTCGGGCAAAGCCAGATGCCGGCCGCCCAGGTCAGGGTGGTCCTCACCTGGGCCAGCAGCCAGTCTACCAGCTTGCTCCCGGGCAGCACGGACTTGTAGGTCTTCAGGTGGTAGTCACGGTCTCTGTGAGGAGGAGGGGGTGGCAGATGAGCAGGGGACGCAGTGGGGCCTCCTGGGCTTGCCGAGATCTCTAGGCGCAGGGCAGGGGCCAGGCAGAGGCCCAGCCCCGACCCCACACCTGAGCCACAGTGAGACTGCCCACCCAGGCCTCCCCTCCCCCAGGGCGCAGGCACTAGGCTCTAGGCCTCTCTCACTCTCGCCCAAGGACCTCAGCCAGGGCACTGTGCCCTCCGAGGGACCCGTGGGCTATCAGGAGCCGGGGTGGGTGCTGCTGGCATCTCGTGGTGGAAGCCGGGGGCCACGGAACATCCTCAAAGCGGACTCATCTGGCTGAGATGCCTTAGCGCACAGGCCTAGGAGCCCGGGACCCTGACATGAGAAAACTCAGCCTTTCCCTGTCCTTCCCTCTGTTCTGTGCAACGGTCCTATGTTCAAAGATCCCGGCTATGGTGACACAGAAGCCCCTCTCTGGGGCTAGGGTGGCCAGCAAGATCCCCGGGTCTCTCCTGTGAGCCCTGTGGCGGCAGCAGCCCGGGCCATCCCACAGCCTTCCAGGTAGCCCCTGGATTCCGTGGCCAGCATGGGAGGCCGAGGAAGGGTCTGGCTGAAGAACTGCTCCAGCTTCGGAACCGGGAGCCCAGCAGCCGCAGTGCACTAGTGAAGGCCCCAGGCCGCTTCCCCAGGCTGGCCCAGGGCAGCAGCAGAGCAGAGGAGCCGGGAGGCAGGGCTGGGGACCAGGGTCAGGTAGCAGGGACCAGGAGAGCCGGCAAGAGCTAAGGATGGGGCAGAGGAATGTGCAGCCGGGGTAAGAATCTGGTGGCCCTGGGGCCCTTCGTCCACCACTGAAGCTTCACATAGGGGATGACCGCTCGATGGCGCCCGCAGACCAGCACCACTCAAGGCACCTCCTATGAACTGAGCCCCACGGCACCCAGAGCTGGGAGCGACTCTGTGCCCCTTTCACAGAGGCAGAGGCAGAGGCAGAGGCAGAGGTGAGCGCTGGATCCACCACTCACTCGGGATGGCCCCGGCTGCAGGTCTACGCTGCCCAGCGTCAGCCCTTTTAATTTCAATTCAACCCCCAAAAAATAAAGCTTATAAAATAACATAAAGTCAAATTAAAGATCATGTTCCTCAATCTCCATGTTTGAAAATGCCATGTGACTAGTGCTCCCATGTGGGACAACGGACACAGGGCACTTCCACCAGTGTAGGCAGCTCTACTGGACAGCAGGGCCCCAAATGAAGTGACAAACACAGAGCACGGCAGAGACACCACGTCTGAAGGGTGAAGAGCATCCCATGCAGCGGGAAAAGCAAGTGCAAAGGCCCCAGGGCACATCCTGTCATCCCCACTCCAGAGAGAAAAGTCAAGGCAAAGGGGGTGTCCAGTGACTGCCCGAGGTCACAGAGCTGGCAACTAGCAGGCACATTCAAACTCAGCCAGTCCCTGGTTCTAGGGTTGACACCCTCTGCCCTCATCGCAGCGCTTCCCACCAACCGCCCACTCCATCCTGTGACAAACCTCCAGGGTAGGTACCGTTATTAGCCCACTTGATAGAGAAGGAAAGTGAAGCTCAGAGAGGCGAAGGTGCCAGCCCCAGGCCACACAGCTGAGAAGAGGCAGAAGTGAAGTGGAAGGTAGGGAGGGACTTACAGCACGTGGGACTTACTTGATCACCGGGGTGTAGAGGCTGTGGAGACGGCAGTATAGCCTCACACCCTGAAAGAAGAGAGAAGGGGAGTTGGGATCAGGCCACATGGTTCAGAGGCCCCGAGGCTGCTGGAGAGCGCAGAGATGGCCCTCAGAACAGAGCAGGGGCTGGCCTGTGGCGCACGCCTGTGATCCTAGGGAACTGGGAGGCTGAGGCAGGAAGAGCTTGGGTCCAAAGCCGGCCTCAGCAACTTAGAGAGGCCCTGTCTCAAGACACAGGAGGTCGGGATGTGGCTCGGAGGTCAATGGTTACGGCCCGGGGTTCAATGCTCAGTGCCAGAAACACAACAAGACATCAGGGTCGGGGTGGGGTTGGCAAGGGCAGTGGAGGGGAAGACAGGCCGCTGGACAGAGGCCTGCTGTGCATGACCTCTGCTGGGTCAGGGTCATGGGTCAGGGTGTCAGCTCAGGGTGGAGGGTGGCTACCCTGGACATGATGCCAGGTCATGGGTCAGGATGGAGGCTCTGACCTTGAAAATGACATCAGGTCATGGGTCAAGGTGGAGAGTGCCTACCTTGGACATGATGTCCTCCAGCTCACTCCGGGCCTTGTATGTGCCATCGTCATAGCGAAAACGGTACATCACCTGCTCGTTCTTGAACTGGTGCTTGTCAGAAACTGGAGGGAACCAGGGGCCAGTGAGGCTGGGCACCCCCGCCCCCCACCTGTGCCCAGTGGGCTGGCTGGCCCCACTTCCCCAGTGCCCAGACGAGGAACGCAGGTCCCCTGCAGTGCAGGGCCACCGGAGACCTCCGGCAGGCCAGGCACCTGCGGAGGAGGGGCCCAGACCACCTGTCTGGCTCAGCCCGTGGGGGGCCCGGGGGTCTCCGCCACACAGCCTCAAAGTCACCCTGGATGCTGTGATCCCTGCAAATCCTGCTAGGCCCAACCTCCAAACCCCAAGCTCTCGGGCCAGGCCCCCCAACCCCACAGCTGCCCCCGCTGGGCTCCTGCTCCCACCTGGGACCCAGCACCTCTGCCCAGCAGCCGAGGAAGCGTGAGGCGCGGCCCTGAGCCGTCGGTTCTCTGCAGGACTCAGCAAGGGCCTCGCACCTCACGCATGCGAGAGCCACTGCCCCTGTGGGCCAGGACGTCCTGGGCCTCGTCTCCCGACTGCCCACTCGGGCAGCCTTGCTGCCTCCGTGCCTGCGCTGAACAAGCCACCCTGGCTCGGGCTGCCCCCACCGGGAACCGCAACGCCCTCACCTTTGGGTACTGGCCTGGGTCCCCTTCCCAGAGACCCCCAGACCCCACTCGGAAATGAGCCACTGAGACAGGTCACCTCCCGCCCTGCTCCCGCTCCTTGGGCACCCACACCTCCTGGACACAGACCTTTACTTCTGGGTTTTATCCTCTCCCAGTGGCAAGGTCAGCTCCCCGGGGACAGGCGGCTGCACTGCCTGCCCACCCGTGTGGCGCTTGGTAACTGCTCATGGAACACTGAAGCTTGGGCCGTGACCCTCCCCTCTGAAAGGTGAGGGGGGACATCCCCTGCCACCACCTCTCCCAGGTGTCCCTGTCTGCTTGTGTCCTGGGGAAAGGCTGGGTCCCCCGGCCCTGGAAGCAGCCGTGTGAGGACATCCGCACCGGGGGGCAGGGCAAGCTGGGAAGCGGGCAAAGCTGCCCAGGAGGGCCCGGCTCGCGGCAGCACAGTCTGCCTGGTCTGACGCCCGCCCGCCACGGCCGGCCACGCACCGTGGTGGATAATGCCGTTCTCCAGCAGAGCCTGGCCCAGGTTGACCCCTTCCTCCGTCTTGCTGATCTCGCCGATCTCCAGGAGCCAGGCCACAAACTCACTGCGGGAACAGGAGACAGGGCTGGGGGTGGGGGCTGCAGGGCTGGCCTGGCCACAGGACCCTGAAGCCAGCCAGAACCTCCTACGGCAAGCGAGGCTGGGGAGCCCAGCCTGGCCACCAGTGGAGGCCTGCGCATCTCCCATGACCCGTGGCAGAGGGACACGTGGCCAGGCCCTGGGTCTGCCTCAGGCTCAAAGGATGGAGCAGTAGACGGATGGGTGGACCAATGAATGGACAGATAGACAAGTGATGGACAGGTGACTAGCAGGCAAGTAGATGGGCCGGTAAAGGAAAGGAAGGTGAGAGGATCTTCCCTTCCTGAAAGGTGCCAGACTCTTCCTGCCCCAGGGCCTTTGCACTGCCTGTTCCCTCTGCCTGGAAATGCCCTTCCCCGGCTCTTCACGTGGCCTTCTTTTCATCCTTCAGGTCTCAGCACAAACATCACCTCCTTGGAGAAGGCGCGTTCTCTGGCAACACAACCCACTCAGTGGCCCTGTTCTTCCTCCGTAACACTTATCACTGTCTGAATTTATCTCATTTGCGGATTTATCCCTTTCTCAGCCACCTCCTGCAGCCAGAAGGTAATCTCCCTGTGAACTGAGTGCTACCTACTGTGACCCAGCCTGGGAGAGGCCTCACGCACAACAGGACGCACTAATCATCCACTAAACAAATAAAGGAAGCAACCATCAAGCAAGGAGGACTGTTCTGGGGTCAGCAGGAAGGTCGGGGAGACAGTGCCAGGGGCAGAGGAGACGGGCAGCTCTTTAGCCAGTGCACCCGGTGGGGGGAGGCCAGGCAGGCCAGGGCCCCGCTCCCGGGAGCTCTTCCTGGGCTCAGCACAGAACTTAGCCCCCTCGAGAGAGCAGGAAGGGGGACCTGGGCTGTGCTCAATGACAGCAGGTGGCAGCCAGCCAGGGCCCCACGCTCTCCTGCTCACTGAAGCCTGCTGTCCCGTGGGGAAACTATTTTTAGCCTCCCCGGGTTTGGCAGGGAAGCCCTGCGGTGTGTAGGCAGCGGTGTGCCAGGCGGTCAGAAAGCCCTGCTGGAGGCGGGAAGGAGATGCGTCCACTCTGCAGACCAGCGCGGGGGAAGGAGAACGCTCACTCTCAGGTCCCACAGCCCCAGCACCCAGACCCGCTGCCAGCAGCTGCAGGAGGGAGCGGATGTCTGCGTGCCCACTCTCGGAAGCAGGGACCCAGCCTCCAGCTGCCCACCAGCTGTCCGGCTGGGGGCCACCTCTAGCACTGGCCAGCAGCCCTGAGCCAGGGAGGAGGGACAGGAAGTGGCCCTCAGCAGCTGCGGGGGTGGGAGAAGACAGTCACAGGACAACAACGTGGACCCGTGAGCTCCCAAGCTGGATCTTGCCACCTTCTGGGGATCAGGAAGGTTCACGGCCTTCTGGACAAATCTGGGCGAGTTTCTATCCCTGTCTGGGCCTCGCAGGGTTCACCTGGCAAGGGGTTCACTCAGGAACCTTCTGGGTTTGGTGGGGGAACCTTCTGGTCATAAGGAACCTCGGCCTGGACCCAGCTGCACGACCAGCCGAGCTCTCCCTGCGGGGCCTGCGCTCTCCCGCCCACGGCCTCCAGCCAGCAGCCAGTGCCCAGGAGCGCGGCCCCAGGGAAGGCGTGGGACTCCGTGGGACACCGTGAGCCAGCACAGGGCAGGACTCGGTGTGTGAGAAGCCAGTTGGGAGGGCAGCCAGCGCAGCGCGAAGGGCAGCAAGGTCCAGGTTCCAGAAAGATGTGACCCAGAGCAGGCTGCTGTCCCTGGACGGGAGAAGCCCCCCATGGAGTGGCCAGAGCTGCTGCAGATCAGAGCTGGGGTCCCGCTGATCAGGGCTAGTCAGCTCCCGGCCTCTTCCTGACCCACTAACACTCACTTAGCCCACACCAGGCCAAGGCCGAGCCGAGACAGCGAGGAGCACACAAGCGTGTCAAGGCACTTTCCAGAGAAGGCCACCAAGCCAAGTCCCCTCAGGGGGCCCTTTGTCTTGCCTGCTGCCTGCTGGGCCTGGGCTGTCACCATTGTGGAGGTGTCCACAGCACGCCTGACAAATGGATCCCCCTCCTCCTCACAACTCATCCCCACACCTGGGCACATAGGAGGCCCAGGCAGGGAGGCCGCCCCCTCCAGGTCAGTAAGGAGGTCCATCTCCAGCAGATGTCAGTAACTCAACTGCCTCTAATCACCACGGACTGTGGAACCAAGGCTCTCTCCTTCCAGGAAGCCTTCGCTGACCGCCCTGCTGACCACACCTTGCCCCATGTGGTCCCCTGAGCTCTGGCAGCCCCCAAGAGCGCCCTCCTCTGGCCTCTGTGATGAGGCTCATCCTCACCCCAGGCCCTGCTGCGCCTCCGCCGTGCCTTCTCAGCACCTAGAATACAATTAGAGCCTGACCCAGGCCCTGCTGACCCAGCCCCTTTGGTTCCTGTGGCAACCCTGGTCTCCCACCCTGTGGCCACCCGCAGCCTCCTGCCTCCCTGCTGGCCCCCCTCCACCCTCAGAACTCCCACCTGCTGTTCCCTCGGCTGCTCCGGGTCTTCTGGCGGGTGCTGGTCACTCGGACCTTGTTGAAACAGCACCCCGAGAGGCCCGTGCACCCCCTGAACCAGCCCCACTCCCTCCCTGCCTTGCAGCTCCTGGCAGAATCGATTCCAGAAAGACCCCTTCACTTCATCCGTCCTGCGGCCTGCGTCTGGCTACTCTCTAGACAGGTGTCTCCCTGAGGGCAGGCATTCCCAGGGTCCTGTCCCCAGCTGGCCCAGGCGAGGGGCTGGGTCAACAGGAGCAAAGGATGGTTGAATCTGATGGTTTCAACTGACCTGAGGGTGGCGGGAGGCGTGGGCCTCCCGGGGGAATCTGCAGTGACACACAGGTTTTGCACCTAGGTCACTTTTATGTATAGCCACCTCACAGGTGTCACCTGCCTCCTCCAGCAACCCTGAGGGCCATTTTATTCTCTTTGATCACGGACTGAAATTCAGCAAGGTTAAGAGGCTTGTCCAATGTCACGCAGCAAGAGAGTGAGGGAAACGAGACCTGAACCCACGTGTGACTCAGAGCCCAGCCCTTGAAGGCCGAAAAGCCAAACCAGACACATTTTGGATTCACAGATAAAAATGAGCAAACATGGCCGAGCAGGAGACGGGGCAGAGCACGCCAAGTCACCAGCCCACGTGCTGGGCATCCCTGGGCCTTCTCCTCGCCCTTAAAGTGGGGACAGCAGCAGTGACCCGCCTCTGTCAGTGCTGGGCAGCAGAGGCAGGGCTGGACAAGCCGTCTCTGTGGCCACTGACTCCGTCCACGGGAGGGGACCAGCTCATGCAGAGCTCGGGAGCTGGCCCCGTGGGAAAGAGGCCTCAGCCGGGCAGGTGCAGAGGGCGCTGCGCGGGAGGCAGGTGTCTTAGAAGGTCTCCCTCGGGGCTTGTGGCCTCCTGGGCCCCATGGCTAAAAAGCAGGCTGTGAACCTGGCCCTGCTTCAAAGGGGCGGGAGAAGCGATCCCCTAATCCTTCCTGAGGAGGAGCCCCTCTGACACTCTCATCAGACGGGCTCCCGGCTCCGGCTTGGCAGGAGGCAGGAAGGTTCTCTGACCAGAGGCCGGAAGCAGCCCCTCCCAGAAAGGGGCCAGCATCCTTTCAGCCAGGATTAGGGATTAGCTGGTGGAGACCAGCCAGGCCCCTCGGCTGCCTCCCAGGCCCCAACTCTCCTCTCCACAGACACCCCAGGGAGAGCAGAACCCCAGCTGCTGACCCGGAGGGCACCGGCAGCCCAAGCCCAATCCCCGCCAGCCCTGAAGGTTGCCTGCTGGGTTCGGACCCCAAGCTCGGCCCTGGGCCCCACCCACTCCAGGCTGGGCCCCACCC